TCCCCATCGAGTCGAGGAAGCAGGCTGCCAGGGAAAGGAGAACAGCGAGCTGCAATTCCCCGGGAGCCACCAGAGCCAGCCCGTCCTTTTCCCCACAGAAAGCCAATGGCACCAAGGGACAGGAGCCAGGGCTAGCAGCCACCACCGTGTGCTTGCCGGCCACCCAGCTCACCCGTGCTGGGAAGGCTGGAGCAAGAAACCCTGGGTTTAGGTACGCCCTCACCATCCAGGCAACGAGACTGTTTTGGGGAGGGACCTCACTCACCTGCAAGCCTGCCGAGACCGCCGTTGCCGAGACCGGCATCCTCCTCGATTTCCTCCAGCTCTTCCATATCCAGCCCAAGCTGCAGACAACAAGGAGAAGGCGACGGGCTGGAGGCTCTCGGAGCCCCACAGAGGGGAGGCGCTGCTGGCACACACCCCCGGGATGCTCTCTCAGGGCTTGTTCCTGGGCCGGTTCCCTCTCTCCACACCTCAGCCCTACAGGGGCACCACGGTGCTGCTCCCCAGCAGCCCAATATACCTGGGGCAGGCACCTGGGAGCCTGTCCCGCTGGCTCCAGGCATCACCCTTTAGCAGAGACACCCAGAGGAGCAGCTACACCGCTTTTAGAAGGAAATGTAAAGTTTCCAGCCTGGGATGCTGTGGGAAGAAGAGGTTTTGCCTATGCAAAGCTCCTCTGGGAACTCAGAGGGAAGTAAGCTGGTGCCTTGCCATGGCTGAGCCACCTTTTCTCAGGGAAACCCCTCAGTCTGACACCTTCCTGATGTCTCACGGCCACATTAAGTAGGGACAACCCTGGTCTCATGGTCACCTATGCGGGAGGGCTGGACCCTGCTCTGCTCACGTGTGTCCTCGGGCTCATCTCCTCCACCCTCACCCCCAGCCGAGCTGCTGTCATCGTTGCAAGGTCAGCAGATGAGAAAAAATGTAAGAAAACCTAAAAAGAAGCCCCTCTCCTTTGAACACATTTGCTCTAGAGCTGCTCGAGCTGTTGTGCAACAGCCCCAGCCACGTACGACGGTGGGTGCAAACACAGCCAGGGGCAAAAGAGCCACCGAAAAAACCTTCCACAGCCTGGGTGCCACGCAGTGCCAGTGCCAGGCCAGGGTTGAGTCAGGCCAAGGTTTTATCATCAATTATTGCTACTAATGGCCTCGTACATATAACCACGAGCTCCCTCGTAGTTTACAGGCCCCGCATCCCGTTGGCGCTTGGCAGCGCCGCATCCCTCAGCGCACAGCCCATCAGGCGGCAAACACCGGCTGTGGCCCCGGGCCTGTCGAGAACAGGTTCTGGAGCAGCATTTCTCTGCTAGAGGCATCGCCTGCGGCTCAGGGAGAGGTTTTTAGTCGGGGCGGGGACATCCCGCTCCAGGTCCTTGCCTCCCCACCGATGCTCACCTGGTAGATGGCTTCGTCGCAGGCGTTCTGCAGCCCCAAGTTGATCATGGTGTTCTGCAGTGTCCGCCCCATGTAAAACTCCAGCGAGAGGTAGTAAATCCTCTGAAAAAGAAAACCACCCCCTTGGGCACCTTCCCCAGGGCCAGAGGAGGCTCCCCTGTGCCCCAGAAGCACAGGGTGTTATCTCAAAGCACGAGGGAAAACGCCCCAACTCCCAACAGAACGAGATGGTTTGAACCAGGAATTTGAGGGCCGGAGCTCCTCGGGGCGCCCGAGGCAGCCATGTCTGGCGGCCCTTCCCCTGTGGTTTCCAAGCCTGGGAGAG